ACACACTGCACTGCATGCATGTCCAGGCTAGGCATGGACAGTCTGTATGTATCGCAGTTTTCTGCGGATCACGGTAACTTTTGAGTAGCAGTAGATCGATTTTGCATCGCAAACTGCGATGCGATACAGGATAAATTCATCCCTGTACCGCATTACTATCATTATGTAATCCAGAAATCTCCAACATGGCAATGATGTAAACCGCCCATCTGATCTATATCTGTCCCCGGGGAAAATTGCGATTCCGCGGCCGCGTTTTTTTCCTCGTTTTTTTGCGATTTTTTAAAAGACCGCGTTTTCCGCGATTTTCCCCGCGTTTTTTTTAACTTTTCTGTTGCACTACAAGTACACACAGTGCACTGTTCGGTCAGCAACGTCTCATCCGGTGGCGGTTTTGTACTCAAATATGACGAGCGCTTACACCAGAGACTTGTAACTGATTGATTTCACTACATACTCACTGAAAATTGCCTCATATCAACTGCAAACTTGCCGCCGCGAGATGATATCAATAATATTCACCGCATATTTACCGCAAATTCACTGCAAATTATGCCATATTATGCCGCGTTTTTTGCCGCAATTTTCCCCGGGGACAGTCTATGTGTAACGGTATGTGCTCTGGCTTTCGTGTGCTTTCCGAATGCGCGCATGTGGCGTGTCCGTGCGTGTTATGTGTTTGTGTGCATGTGTGTGTTGTGTGTATGCGGCTGTGTGTGATGTGCGTCGTTTCAAATCTTTATTCTCACGATAGCCAGTGGCCAATAAGAGATAGTCGTTGTTGTTGTTGTTCTGCAAAGGCGTGGCGGTGGGGCCATGGCCGGTGCGTATCTCGGACACTTCGTCGTACGTGCTGGGCCAGATGAAGACACAGTCGTGGGGCGGTGGAGAACCGGACGTCGGGGATAGTGTCTACATGGATGGCACCATATCTGGTGTTGAACTTCTCAGGTATGAAACAGTGAGCTGAGCTGCCGGATCACCACCATTGCTATGCTTCTTCTTGGCACAGTAGAATAAGTTATGCCCGTTCTTTGCTTTGGGCGTCATGCGATCAGCTCACTTTGCTGACTTGAGCTGGTGGTCTGTGTGTGTGTGTGTGTGTGACTTTTTTCTCTTCAAATAGCTGTATGGTGTAGACCAGGCTGAATAGTGACGGTCAATTATTCAGCCTTGCAAGCTGTTGAATGGTCCAATCTCAGCACAATTTGCTATGGCTTCTGCCGTAGCATTGCTATCATCGCCTCCGGCGATGGGCGTCAAAGGTCAAATGTGTGTACGTGTGTGTGTGTGTGTGTGTGTGTGTGTGTCCGGCATCGCACGCGACTGATTATGTGAGCAGTCAGCCGCTGTTAGTCACATATCAGCAGCGCAGAGGGTCGGTGGGCGTGTGTGTGTGTGTGTGACTGTGTCTGTGTACGCCCACCGACCCTCTGCGCTGCTGACATGTGCCTAACAGCGGCTGACTGCTCGCATGATCAGTCGCGTGCGATGCCGGACACACACACACACACACACGAAGATACAAAAGAAACCGCCGTGGACCTTGCTTGCACCAGACACCGCTATGTGACATCCATAGCTTACCGGTACCTTCGGGAATGAATGTGATGTTATATTTCCCCTTTCTAAACTTACTGGTTGGTGGTAGTGGTACAAGCAGTACCAGAGTCATTTTCGGTATCTGACCTTCTATCAGATTTATTTAGAAACACATTTAGCCGTACACACATGTAGCAGCTCTAAAAAGTGTGATATCGTTTTTGATGCACGATGGCAGGCTGGTGATTTATGTAAGAAACTCAACCAGTTCAAGTCGTTGGTGTTGTTACTGATGCATGTACACGTCGGCAGACTGCTCATGTTTCCCACGTAGCGTAGCTCTGGCACGCAAGTGTTTTTTTCCCAGTGTACACATGCTGAGCTAACGGTGCAATGGTGAACATGGCCGGTGTGTCTGTGTGTGTGATTGAATGTTCGTGTTCTGCAGCAATGCCGGTGCTTGGACGGAAACCGAGGCCGCCACCCTGTACTACAAGAAGCTGAAGCGGCTGCAGCGGCTGTACATCGGCCAGGTCGATCGACTGCGTCACGAGTTCCGCTTGCTCAGGCATCGCTACCTTGGCCAGCTCCAGCACATAGACAATGGCGGAACCATTAACTCCACGGCACAAATGCCTCACTCAGGTTGGTCTAATTGTAGTGCCGCGCTTGTACCATGTACAGTAGAACCAAGAGTAGATAAACAAGAGTGTGCAACTCCGGATCTCTCCTGCACAATCTGCAGATACCCCCGCCCACGGCGGAATTTTTTGTTGACGTCACCTTTTTTTCAGAAGAACGCGCATTTTGCCGCAGAGCAGTGTGAGAGCACGTGCTGGGCACCGAGCTTGTAGTGTAAAGCCGGCCAAGGGCACGAGGGAAAACTTTCCGAAAGACTCGCAGCGCGTGCGTCGTCGAAAAGAGTACGTCAACAAAAAATTCCGCCGTGGGCCTACCCATCCGCGAGTTGCACATTCTTGTTTATCTACTCTTGGTAGAACCTGTCAGGGCGACCTCTCTGAGAAGCTGACCGCCTGCCTCAGAGGACCGCTACAAATAGGACCAAGGGGTGTCGTTTCCAATCAAATGACCCTGGATAAGGAGACCACATTTTAGAGGGCCCTTGAGAGGTCGGCTTTAATAGACAGGTTCCACTGTATGCATGTTAATCCTCTTAAAGGGGAAGTTAAGGCAAAAATCAAATTTCACCAGTTGTAGTCTTCGGGGTGCTGAGTCGAATGGTCTTGGTCCGAGAAAGCACGCCTGCCCAAATCACCTGGTCACCACGCCAGCAGGCGACAACTTTCACACCAAGGTTCAACTTGAGTGACAGGACTGCACCCAAAAAAGGTCAAACAGGCTAGTAAGTTGTACCCTGCAGGCACGGTGACCAGGTGACTGGTGTACGCAGGAGCACGTGACCGCTTGTTCAACCATGTTCGATTGGGAATAAAGGAGGAACGCTGCATCGCAGCCTTTTCGGACCAAAACCAGTCGACTCAGCGTCCAAAAGAGTACAACAATGGGCCAATCGCGGTCATCCATGCTTTTATAAGAACGAAATGGCGCTTTTAGTGAGATTTTGCATACAAATCCCCATCTAGTAGGGCGCAGTCACCCAGTTTCGGTGGAAGTGCGCGAGTTCGATTGGGATTAAAGTAGGAAGGGAGCGTCTCAGCTTCCTCGGACCACGACCATTTGACTCAGCACCCCGAAGACTACAACTGGTGAAATTTTGATTTTTGCCTTAACTTCCCCTTTAAGAAGACCTGTGCGTGCCTCACCCTGATTTTTAAGAGTGGCCCAAACAGCATGCTTATGAGCTTCACTGAGGTGGTCATGTCTGCTTGCCCGGAGTGCTAGTTGCTCCGCGGCGGCTGATGCGTATCCTGTGTGTGGATGTGGGTGTACAGTGCCTTGGCAGCCATGCTTTCGTCATGGTAACCATCTTGAGATGTGCACCAGGGAAACCAGAATGTAGTGTTCGAGATAGGTTTTGTACATATCCAGTATTGTAGGCACCATAGAGGGCTGTAGCTGATTAACGTTGTGTGTGTGTGTGTCTGCATGTGCCTGTATGTGTGTTCACCGCTCGTTCAGTTGAGGGCGATGCCACTGCCGTGCTGCGAGCCAAAAGAGCCAGTGCGGTGCGTCGTTACAAGCGCTTCTACGGCCACGACGCTGTCATGCAGCATCGTGTGCGCGAGCGACGCAAGAAAGCTCGTCAGGCCGCCCTGAGCACCGTCGCTGCCACCGCGACCACTTCTACTGGTAATGCAGCTGCTGCCGAAGCAACGGCAATATCAGCGGCGTCAAGTAATGTGTCCAAGGTGCCGCATTGTGCGCATGTGGGAGCCGGCTCTACGCCATGCCAGAGCACCTGCCTACCCCTGACTAAGTACTGTCGGCAGCACATCTGCACCGAGACGGGCCAGTTCCTGTTTGTGCCATGCGAGCAGGGCCTGTCCAACGGGCACAAGTGCGGCCAGCCGGTGCCCGGCTACACGGCGCTGAAGCGTTGCTTTCTGCACATCGACCTGGTGCCGCTGCGCTGCCACCGGTCCGACATCGAGGAGCTGCACGCCCGGTGGTCGCGTCTCCACGACGGCCAGTCCGACTCCGCCGCGCCCGTCTCGGTGGCGACGACGACGGCAACGGCGGCGGCTCAATCCACGAGCAGCGCGGTGGCGTCTTCATCGGCACCGCTGGAGCACGCCGCCGCCGCCACCACCGCCTCGCCATTCCTGCATGATGACGTGGCGATGGACATGGACCTGGTGCGCGCCCTGTCGTCGGCGGCGGGCGTGTCCCAGCAGAGCAGCTCCGGCAACAGCTCCGTGTCCTGCCTGTCGGCGTCCGTCACGCCGCCGCTGCAGGAAGCGGCCGCCTCGTCCATGCTCACCGGCAGCAGCGTGGCACTGGTGTCGGCGCCGCTCAGCGCCCTGGTCTCCGCATCACCCACGCTGCACGCAGGCGATCTGAAGCCTGTAATGCAGACGGCCGCGTTCAAAGCGGAACGGCCGCTCAAGATGACGCACCAATCTACTCCTAAGCACTCATGAAACTGACTTATCTGCACGAGTTTTATCGTTGAAGTTCACCGTGTAACTATGCGAAGCAGCGTTCAGGTGCCTCCTCTTGATCGTAGGGCATCCGTGCGTAGAACAAATAGTGTGCACACGTGTGTGTGTGTGTGTGTGTGCGTGCTTGTGTGTGTGTGTGTGTGTGTGTGGGTGTGCATGTGTGTGGGTGTGCATGTGTGTGGGTGTGCATGTGTGTGGGTGTGCATGTGTGTGGGTGTGCATGTGTGTGTGTGTACATGTGTGTGTGCATGTGTGTGTATGTGTGTGGGTGGGTGGGTGTTGAATCATGCTAACGCTTTAGTACAGCTGTGCTGCTGTTTGCCTGGTGCTGGCCGCCCTGACGTTTTATACAAAGATTTCACTGCATTGCTCTGTTACTGTTGCTGCTGGCAGTCTTCTGGTTCATGGTGCTGCTTTCACTGGTATGGTCTGGATTGTTCCGTATGCCATGCCTACTTTATTATGGTCTCGCTACACTATCCTACTGAATTCTTGTTGACACTTGTTTTCCGCTATATTATACAGATATTCCATTCGTCGCCGTCTTTCACTTGCATGCAACTGTAGCCCTGTTGTCCACATTCTTGTAGACCATCGGTCTTGCTTTCTTTCCTCTCCTAATGCTTGGTACAGTGGAGCAGATTTGTGGCGTTCATATTCCACCATCTATTGTGCTTCGGACCTGGGCTTGTTTGCTTCTTTTGCTGCTGAATGTGTGTGTGTGTGTGTGTGTGTGTGTGTGTGTGTGTGTGTGTGTGTGTGTGTGTGTGTGTGCCTTGCTGAGCGTCGGCTTCCGGTTGAGCTTCAGCGTGGTGCACGGCATTGCAGCACCTGCCGGCGGTGGTTTAAAAGTGCGGGGGGCCTGGCTGTTCACCGTTGTCAGCCATCACCATCTACAACAGAGGAGCCAACCGCTACTGCTCACGCCTCATCGCCTCCAGCCCAAGCATCTCTGCCAGGGGAGCCTACCGCTACTGCTCACGCCTCCAGCTCAAGCATCTCTGCCCTCGGCGTCCCCACCCCGGTACGCTGTCTCGACTGAGCGCTGCTGCGGTCATCACTGCAGTGTCTGTGGCCGCTGCTGCAAGTCGGCTTCAGGCTTCAGCCGCCACAACTGTCGGAGAGGCGGGTGCAGGTCTGTTGATCGTGGCCACTTTTCAACATGAGTGCGGGTATGGGAGACGTTTCCATTGGCTCCGCGGCATCCGGCGACATGTCTGCAGGGCGTCATGACTGCACGCTCTCCTCTCCTCCCCCGCATCGGGCGGCATAGCCAGTTACTGGCAGCTAGCTGTACACAAGGTCAAGGTGTGGGTGTGGGTGTGAAAACTTAAAAGCCACTTCAATCAGCTGCAAATGTGATGGGGATCAGTCTAGAATTAATGATGCAGTCAATTCATCAGTCTTGCAAGCTGTTGAATGATGACAACCCAGCACACGTTCCTGGTTCAAACTCCCTGTCTTTCTATCGCCCGTACAGTAGGGTATTTACTCTTCTGTCTTGCTAACTATATTCCTGATGCTGGGCCTTGCCCGAAAATTTGAACTATAATGTATATCAATTGCCGTTAGAGAGAGTGTGTACAAGGTGTGTGTACATGATGTACGGATTGCTAGACTAGTATTAGATTTCTGATTACTACTGTCAAGAGTAAATAATTAATAAATACTAGTACTGTAAGATGCTGTAAACACAAATTAGGCTTATAGTTATACAACAGACACTGATAGATAGCTTCCAACACTTTTAACTGTAGTCCATAACCATGACGACCACGGCACAATACAGTGAACGAAGAGTCGGAATACGAATTGCAACAATCAGGACTAGCTAGCAGATGACTGTACACTGAAGACTTGCTACCACGATTCGAAACCTACGCACAACACTAACACTCTCACCGGCACTCTCACCATCACTGCTCCCTCCGCCGTCCGTTCCATCATCCGCTTCCTCTGTACTCTCTCTGTCTCCTATGATTGGTCCTGCTCGTTGTCCCGTTTATTTATGTTTGCCGTGGAAAGGGCAGGAGTCGACTAAAGTTTGTAGTGCAGTCAAGTCTGTTGTTCGTCGAACTTACTACGCAGTACACTTCGTGCCAGTCTTTACGACGATGCGTGCGTTTACGGTGCGGAAGGATGTCCTACCAGCCCATCACCTAAGTCATCTTATTTACAACTTTGAATGCCGACAATGCGCTAGTCGGTATGTTGGTAGGACTGTTCAGCACCTGAACGCACGCATCAAACAACACACACCACGTCACATACTTCCACCTTGCGCACAACAACAAAGACCGAAGCGAGGGCGACCTAGAAAACAACCATTAACCACACAGCCGTTGCCTACACAACCCGCGGATCCTGGCTCACAGACTGTGCTTGCTCCGCCGTCGCTGGTGGCGGTGGTGGAGGAGAATGGGCGTGGTGGCTCATCGGGTCGGCTTGTGTCGCCGCCTTTGCTCCGGCCGTCGGTGGTTCCTTCGTCAGTGCCCCCGGCGGCTTTGGCTGAGGCGGCGCTGCTTGCGGTCCCGGTCCCACTGCCTCCTCCTGATCCTCCGCCATCGGTTCTTGCGGTGGTGGAGCTTGCCAGTGGCAGCCCGCGAGCAACACTGACAGCTGCATTAACACTACAAATGCCGACTCAAAAAGACCCACCTTGCATATCAGTAGCTCCCACACCAACACCAACAACGCAATCTACAGCAACCACAACTAATCCACCATCCAAGCCCATAATTGAAAGACCAAGACGATCAACAGCCAACTACAACAGAAGCTACGCACCGTCGGACAAGGGCGAAAGGAGGGACGTGATCATGGTGATAGCAGGGTGACGGCCGAGTTGAGTTCAATGGACCCGGTCAGGCGGGATGGACGAGACAGAGAGAGTACAGAGGAAGCGGAGGATGGAACGGACGGCGTAGGGAGCATTGAGTCGGAGAGCAGTGATGGTGAGAGTGCCGGTGAGGTGTTAGTGTTGTGCGTAGGTTTCGTGGTAGCAAGTCTTCAGTGTACAATCATCTGTTAGCTAGTCCTGATGAGTGATTGTTGCAATTCGTATTCCGACTCTTCGTTCACTGTATTGTGCCGTGGTCGTCATGGTTATGGACTACAGTTAAAGGGGAAGTATACCCTAAAATCAAATTTTCACCAGTTGTAGTCTTCTGGGTGCTGAGTCGAATGGTCTTGGTCCGAGGAAGCTGCGACGCTCCCTTCCTACTTGAATCCCAATCGAACTCGCGCACTTCCACCGAAACTGGGTGACTGCGCCCTACTAGATGGGGATTTGTATGCAAAATGTCACTAAAAGCGCCATTTCGTTCTTATAAAAGCACGGATGACCGCGATTGGCCCATATATGTTGTAGTCTTTTGGACGCTGAGTCGACTGGTTTTGGTCCGAAAAGGCTGCGATGCAGCGTTCCTCCTTTATTCCCAATCGAACATGGTTGAACAAGCGGTCACGTGCTCCTGGGTGCCCAAATCACCTGGTCACCACGCCAGCAGGCGACAAATTTCACACCAAGGTTCAACTCGAGTGACAGGAGTGCACCCAAAAAAGGTCAAACAGGCTAGTAAGTTGTACCCTGCAGGCACGGTGACCAGGTGACTGGTGTACGCAGGAGCACGTGACCGCTTGTTCAACCATGTTCGATTGGGAATAAAGGAGGAACGCTACATCGCAGCCTTTTCGGACCAAAACCAGTCGACTCAGCGTTCAAAAGACTACAACATATGGGCCAATCGCGGTCATCCGTGCTTTTATAAGAACGAAATGGCGCTTTTAGTGACATTTTGCATACAAATCCCCATCTACAGTTGCGCTCGGTGAAATCCGGCCCGAAGTGCAAAGCCGGCGCCGCGAAGCCAGCTCCCATTACATCACTGGCGATTTGTGGGTATGAACTCAACTGTACGCACCTCGTGTAAAAGTTCGGAGTGCACGTGTTGCATGCTAAAAACAGTTCAAATTTTTTTTCATTCACTTCACGAAGTACAGCTCAAGATCAAGAAGAGATAGAGAGAAAGGACATGGCCATTCCCAATGTGTGGGCTCTTCTCAAGAAGAGAATAATTCCGCATCGCTGCGAGAATGCTGACCAGCTGGTGCAAGCACTGCACCTGGAGTGGGACTCGTTGGCTCCTGACACGGTTTCCCCGTACGTGGAGTCAATGCCACGTCGTGTTGAAGCCCTTATCGAAGCAGACGGTGGCCACACAAAATATGGAAGCCCTGCTGCTCTGTGTATGAAATAAACTGCTTCGAAACGATCTCCGTCTTCTTTACTTGTGCTGGACTGAAATGAATGTTACACTTGTCTTTGTTTGGCGCGTTTTTTTTTACACTTTGGTGTAAGCATGCATGCGTATGAGTAAGCACATGCACAGTTCATACGGCACACGTGCACACTAGCACTTGTACAACTTTGAGGGCGTCAAGGGCCGCATCAGTATTGGGCGCCAGTTATTTATGCACTTCGGGCCGGATTTCACCGAGCGCAACTGTAGTAGGGCGCAGTCACCCAGTTTCGGTGGAAGTGCGCGAGTTCGATTGGGATTCAAGTAGGAAGGGAGCGTCGCAGCTTCCTCGGACCAAGACCATTCGACTCAGCACCCCGAAGACTACAACTGGTGAAAATTTGATTTTAGGGTATACTTCCCCTTTAGGGTATACTTCCCCTTTAAAGGGGAAGTATACCCTAAAATCAAATTTTCACCAGTTGTAGTCTTCTGGGTGCTGAGTCGAATGGTCTTGGTCCGAGGAAGCTGCGGCGCTCCCTTCCTACTTGAATCCCAATCGAACTCGCGCACTTCCACCGAAACTGGGTGACTGCGCCCTACTAGATGGGGATTTGTATGCAAAATGTCACTAAAAGCGCCATTTCGTTCTTATAAAAGCACGGATGACCGCGATTGGCCCATATGTTGTAGTCTTTTGGACGCTGAGTCGACTGGTTTTGGTCCGAAAAGGCTGCGATGCAGCGTTCCTCCTTTATTCCCAATCGAACATGGTTGAAGAAGCGGTCACGTGCTCCTGCGTACACCAGTCAGCTGGTCACCGTGCCTGCAGGGTACAACTTACTAGCCTGTTTGACCTTTTTTGGGTGCAGTCCTGTCACTCGAGTTGAACTCGAGTTGAACCTTGGTGTGAAAGTTGTCGCCTGCTGGCGCGGTGACCAGGTGATTTGGGCACCCAGGAGCACGTGACCGCTTGTTCAACCATGTTCGATTGGGAATAAAGGAGGAACGCTGCATCGCAGCCTTTTCGGACCAAAACCAGTCGACTCAGCGTCCAAAAGACTACAACATATGGGCCAATCGCGGTCATCCGTGCTTTTATAAGAACGAAATGGCGCTTTTAGTGACATTTTGCATACAAATCCCCATCTAGTAGGGCGCAGTCACCCAGTTTCGGTGGAAGTGCGCGAGTTCGATTGGGATTCAAGTAGGAAGGGAGCGTCGCAGCTTCCTCGGACCAAGACCATTCGACTCAGCACCCAGAAGACTACAACTGGTGAAAATTTGATTTTAGGGTATACTTCCCCTTTAAAAGTGTTGGAAGCATCTATCAGATGCTGTGACGTCGTTACTTTTTACTTTTTAGTTCGTTGAAATAATTAATTAGGGCAGAGGGGGAAACCCCGACTCTACACGCGCAGTGACGTGTATGTAGACGTGTGCATGCAGCATGCATGGCAACAAGTACATGTACCGTACATACACGTAACGCAACGTACCGTCGACCGAAGTGCTTTTTTTAATTTTATGCATGTGTCTTGCTTCTGAAAACACAAAATTCAATTTCTGGAAGCTATCTGAGTATCTTCTCGTCGTTCAGGCTGTCTTTTTCTCTACCGAATGGACAATGAAAATCTTGTGTAGGGCTCATTCTAAATGTAAATGAGTGAATAACATTATGAACGCATCTTGTTTTGGCTAGCTTGAGCGAAACAATGGAGGACGAAGGTGGGTGCTTGTTGATCATTGTTTGTTCTTTGGCCTTTTGCTCAGCTTAGCTGATGTTTGCGTTTGTATGCTGCCCTGGCTGTAGACGTATGTCGCGTTTGCAGGGCTGAAGGGACGCCTGATAATGCTCTATTTCATCCATGTGCGTGTACTGGCAGTATCAAGTTCGTGCATCAGGCGTGGTAAGAATTATTGTAATTGTCCCCAAAATGAATTGTATTATATTATTCAGTGTGGTGAATTGGTTGGCACGTTCTCAATCAACAAATTCAACACCAGTAGACAGTGCCTCGGAAATTTTGATTCACTGCCACTTCATATTTCTGAGAAGGGAGGAAAGTGACGTGGATTCGTATGCCTGAGTCGAGACTTAATATCTTTGTTAAGGTTAATACATCCTAGTGCAACTTCTAGTATCATTACTATTCATTTTCTCACTGATTTCATAAAACGGATTTATTCGAACAATACGGCGTGGAAAGAAGGAAGAACACGAAAGAAAACAAGGGATGAAACTCGGCGATGAAATTAAAATTAAAATTTGAAATAGTCTAATCCAAAGTACTTTGAAGATCAAGGTCCCTTCTGCCACAGTATTGACGTTGTGCATGCTCGAAGTCAAATGACAATGCTTGTGTCGAGAAGCAAGCAGTAAAAGATTGTGCCATGTGTAGAATGTTGTTAGAGATGTGTAGGGATGCGGCATCACTATTAATGATGATAGCTTGCATGCCGTCCTACCTGTAGAACCCAAGAAATCGCTCTGCAAAAGTGCGGCCAGCTGAGAATTTTTTTTCCGATACAGTAAAACCTGGTCTGCTGCTGCTGCTGCTACTGCTGCTGCTCAGGCAGCACTGTGCGGCTGCATGAGCTCTGGCAGCTACAATCTCCGGTGGTACGTAGCTGGAAGAGCACCTGGTAGCAACGGAGAGATCACACGGTATTGCGCGCACTAGTGACACACTTGGAATATTTGATTGTGTGCTTCGAGCCGTCTGTGCTCCAAACTGTCGTAGCGCTCTTCAGCCTGTGGCCAGCCACTGTTGATACAGGCGAGATCCCACAGCTCGTGTGGTGGAGGCTGCTCAAGTGTGCAGATGTGGTGTGAAATGTCGGCTGGGTTCACCTCTGGCAACCACTTGCTCGTGATTTTATGATCATGCCATAGCACTCATCAGCAGACTGAACCGTTTCGTCGTTTGTGGTACAAAGAAGTGAAGCTGAACCTGGTAGCAATGAGCTCAGCTACAGTATTTGCAGTGTTTGCATCCTACAAACATGCTTTTTCCTTTCTCTTTTTCTTGCTTTCCTCATGTTCTGCAGCCTGGTACAATGGCTGAAACACAGCCGCAAAGAGTAAGTAGAGTGCACGGATGGTGTGTGGCTGCTTGGCTGTGATCCATGTACACTTTAGCAGTCCAGTTGAGGCTGGCAGCTGTGTATGTGTGTGTGGTGTGTGTGTGTGTGTGTGTGTGTGTGTGTGTGTGTGTGTGTGTGTGTGTGTGTGTGTGTGTGTGTGTGTCAGACTGTTCATCTGGTTTGTGATATTTCTTTCCTCTGTTTGTGAGTCCTTTTCCATCAATATGGCAGCTTGTTTTGATTTCCTTTTTTTTCAATTCATTTTGCTGTACTTCCTGTTTTGTTTTGCGCCACTGCCCCTCACCTTGCGCTCAGTTCTCTGAGTGGAGGGCGGCGTGACCCCATGGGGTAGCTGATTGATAGTAGTAGTAGTAGTGTGTGTGTGTGTGTGTGTGTGTGTGTGTGTGTGTGTGTGTGTGTGTGTGTGTGTGTGTGTGTGTCTGTGTGTCTGTGTCTGTGTGTGCATTTATGATGTGTGTGTGTGTGTGTGTGTGCATTTGTGATGTATGTGTTTGTGTGTCCGAGTGTGTGTGTCTGTGTGTGTCTGTGTAATCCCAGCACAAGGTGTTATGTCTAACATAGCTTGTTCGCTATCATCGCTTCAGCGATGGGCAGGTGTGTGTGTGTGTGTCTGTCTGTATGCATGCACGCACATTCATACCAGTGTGTACATTCATGTGCCTCTGGGGTTGTTTTTTTGTCTTTTGCTTTGTGTTAGATACTGTGAGCTATGCAAGCACCGCTTCCTTTTCCGGCCTAGTAAGTTACTGGAAGATAGCATGCCAAGTGTATCTGTCTTGCTAGCAGTACTAATTTGAGATCGTTTGAGCTCCAAAGTTTCCGGCTCTGATTGAATGGCAGTGGCCACCCTTTGTAATCATTGCAGTGTCGCGGTGTTGTCCTTGGACCAATCCCATCTGCTACACCTATTCCTGTATTTATAATATTATTCGAAAGATTAATGGAGACTTCGGGACGGAAAACTGGAGTTGACCAGCTTGAAGACTACTGAGCAAAGGCATTGTTTTGTGTCACTGACCAAAATAGCGGTGATTGCCGGGAGGAACGCTCTCTTTCAGCCGTTGTCAGTGGATCACTGGGCCTAATATCCGACTTGAAAACCACTCCAAGCATTCTTGCACATTTCCACAGTTCGTGAGATAGAGTGCACTGGTCCTCGTAAATTACCTCCCTTTTCTGTCTTTGCAATTTCCAAGCAATAAAGTTGTGAGAAACGTGATCCGAGTGCGTCCAATCGGGCTTATGTTCTTACAAGGTGAGCGACAGCTGCCCAGAAACTAATCATGTTTGAACCATTCTCTCGTGGATTTCTTTGTGTGCACGATCTAGTCTATGCAGCCAATACTCCATCACGACTGCCGCTGCGGGAGATTGGCATCGGCTTGCTGCGCAATGTTGGCAGTGTTCTTCTGCGAACAGTGCCACCGCTAAGCATCTGGGCTATTTATATACCTCTGCTGGCTGGTAAGACTTGTGTTCCATGCCAACGTGGTAGATGCTCTCTCTCTCTCTCTCTCTCTCTCTCTCTCTCTCTCTCTCTCTCTCTCTCTCTCTCTCTCTCTCTCTCTCTCTCTCTCTCTCTCTCTCTCTCTCTCTCTCTCTCTCCCCTCCCTCCCTCCCTCCCTCCCTCCCTCCCTCTCTCTCTCCCTCCCTCCCTCCCTCCCTCCCTCCCTCCCTCTCTCTCTCTCTCTCTCTCTCTCTCTCTCTCTCTCTCTCTCTCTCTCTCTCTCTCTCTCTCTCTCTCTCTCTCTCTCTCTCTCTTGTAATATGCTCTGTACGTCGTGCATCAAGCATTCTGACGCGTAGTCAAGATTCTTCTGTCAATCGAGCTGTGTGAATTGTTATGAAAGCTGGGAGTTGAACTGTGTGCTAAACTCCTGTTCCTCTCGATGTGTTGTGTATGCTCCGTCTCCAGCGAATGCGTATCGAGCTCGCTATGCACCCGATGGTGCAACGCAGGGTGACGCAGTGTCTGAGGCTATCCCAGTGCCCGTGCTGTCTGACATCGTGCGCGTGGTGGTGGGCTACTTCGCCCTGTAAGTCGACAGTGTTTTGTGATTGCAGACCTGTGTGTGCTGTGCTTCCTCACCGAGAGACACACCCTGTGCGTGTGCGTGCGCGTGACTGTGTGTGTGTGTGTGTGTGTGTGTGTGTGTGTGTGTGTGTGTGTGTGTGTGTGTGTGTGTGTGTGTGCAGCGATTTCCAATCGATAGGTGGCGGATTCGATTCCCGACGAGTATGGTCACGCACATCTTTCTTCTCTTTCTCAGACTCCTCCTGACTTTTCTTTCATTCTCCTGGGTGGTTACCAACAGCCAGTGCATGCCGGAGTATGTGGTGTGATGTGTGTGCGTGAAAAAAAGAAGAAGAAAAGATAAAGACCAAAAATTAGGGATTCACTGGCCAGAAAAAGCCACTTCATAGCTGTGTGGTGTAGACCAGGCTGAATAGTGGCGGTCAATTCTTCAGCCTTGCAAGCTGTTGAATGGTGCAATCCCAGCTCAAACTGCTATGGCTTCTGCTGTAGCATCGCTATCATCGCCTCCGGCGATGGGCGTCAAATGGTATGCGCGCGTGCCCTGTATGTTTAAACCCATTTGCTCTTTTTGTTGTGAATGTGCTTGTCAGTGTATGAGGGTTTACCAGCATCAGGATCATTCACATTTTATTGCTTTGTTACTGCATGTTCTGTGTGTGTGTCTGCGTGTGCTGTATGCTGTATGCTGTGTGCGCATACGTGCTGTGTGCTACGTGTGCTGCGCATTGCATTGTATTGGCCGCAGGAAACCTCACCCGGGATGGTCACTGCCGGCCGTCACCAACAGCATCACCACCGGCATGCTGGTGATGATGTTTGCCATAATGTGCTTCTGCCTGCTCTTCATCTTCCTGCCCCTGCTCGAGCTGTACGGCGGAGACTGGCTCGTCGTCAACCCCGACGCCAACGGCAACCTGCTGCGGCGCCTGCTCCTGCGCAATTGGCGGCGCGTGCCACCGGCACCGCCGGTCGAAGGCAGGCGCGCTGC